ACTTCTAGAATGCCCCCTCCTCCCCGTCCTCTCCCTGAATTCCTGAGCCCTGGAAATGATCCATAGTTCCCCAGGAGGCAGCCGACACCCACCTGGCTCTCACCCCTTGGATCTCCTCCATCACCAAGTCCTGTCTATTTCTTTCTCCTTCCATGATCCCACCGTCTTCCTGGGCACTGTCACTTTGCTTGGGGGGACTTTCCTGCCTCTCCTACCCATTCTGGTCCTGTTTCCCATGGCATCCCATTGTCCTGGGGACAAAGACCCCAAATCTCCCCAGTCCTGCTGTTTCGTCCCCTCCATGCTCCTCTCACACTTCGCCCCTCCTCCTCCCCAGCTCCATGCTCAGCGTCCCTGACTGCCCTTCATTCACTCCCCTGAGCTCTTGCCTTCTGTGGGGAAGTAGAAAAATTCCTTTTTAACGTGTGCTAATGACTTTCTGGAGCCCTATCCTATGTAGCTGTTAGATATGCTTACAGGCACGCAATACATTCTGTGTCCTTGTACTTTAACCAAGATATCTGTGCTGGAAGTGCTCACAGGCATGTCTCAGCTCTCCACTGCTTTTACCTGTTTAGAAAAGTTTTAAGTTGTCAACCAATTGGGTTTTAGTTTAGATTGTGAGGTCTGGCTCCAGCCAACAGAGAGCAGACACAGCAGTAAGGACCACCCCAAATGCGTAAGGAATAAATTTGTGTGTATCCCTTTGTTCTTTGTACTCTTGTGGCATGATGGCTAGTGAGGGTACCCTTCCTGCAGCTCAGGAAGTAAAAATTGCGTTGCTGAAAGATCCTTTGTCTCAGTGCTGACTTTTCTTGGTGGCACTGAGCATCTATTTCCAACACTTTCCCAAAGTCTTTGCGCCACCACTCCTTGCGCCTAGAATATGCCCTTCCTTCTCCTCTGCCAGCAGCTCCTCCTTATGTCCTACTCTAGATCCCCTTTCAGGGGTCTTCCTGGGTTCCATCTAGGAGCCATCCCCACCCCCACCCCTTGCAATTCCCCACAGCATTTCTGGGATGTGCATGGCTCCATAACCAAGCCATGCCCTTGGTTAAGGAAGGCATGCCACCGAGCACCTACGGTGTGCCAGGCCCTGTGCACTCCGGGCTCTTCCCATCCACTCTCCCATTGAATCCCACAACCACTCTGTCAGGAAGGTATTTCCAGGCTCATCCTACAGGTGAGGCCCCTGAGACTCAGAGAGGCAAAGTGTCCTGCTGAAGGTGACACAGCTGGAGGGTGGCAGGGCTGGGATTCACATCAGGGCCCATCTGGGGCCCAGAGGCCACAGCCCTGATGTAGAGCCTCCAGAGCCTGATCAGTCTGTACGAACCGTCAAACACCTGTCAGACGCTAAACCTGGGTTTCTGACAGGGTTACATGTTTGAGAATAAAGACAAGATGCAGAATGATGCCTGCAATCGCCCCCACCCTGCCCTTGCAAAGCCAACATTGTAGAGCTGGGGAAACTGAGGCACGGTTCCCAGGGGAGTGGGATTGCATGGGGATAGTAAGCAGGTTGCTCGCGTCTTTACCCCACACCACTCCTTTCGTACTCCCTTGTGGGTGACAGTGTGTTTGTGAATCCTCAGTCCCCTGTCCCCTTCTGATGGGGCCCTGTCCCTAGCAGGTGGCAGCCAGTCAAAACATCTGAACCCACATGACGGCGCCGATGGCCCCAGGCCTGCTGTATCCTGACATGGTGCACACGGAGCCTCCTCACCCTTCCCCTATTTGTTAAAGAGTGGTGATTTCTCCCCATTTCAGAGTTTAGGACGTTGAGGTTCAGGTAGGGCCACTAGGACACAGCCTGAGAGGGGCCGCTTCTGATTCTAAGCCTGATAAGAACGGAGTTTCAGGCACTGGTGTAGGCTCATGGGAGACGTATTTTTCTCTCTCTCTCTTTCTTTCTTTCTTTCCTTCTTTCTTTCTCTCTCTCCCTCTCTCTTTCTTTTCTTTCTTTCTTTTGACGGAGTTTTGCTCTGTGGCCAGGCTGGAGTGCAGTGTAACAATCTCGGCTCACTGCAACCTCCGCCTCCTGGGTTCTAGCGATTCTCCTGCCTCAGCCTCCTGAGTAGCTGGGATTACAGGCGCCCATCACCATGCCCAGCTAATTTTTTGTGTATTTTTAGTAGAGACGGGGTTTTACCATGTTGGCCAGGCTGGTCTCAAACTTCTGACCTCAGGTGATCCGCCAACCTCAGCCTCCCAAAGTGCTGGGATTATGGGCGTGAGCCACCGTGCCTGGCTGGGAGATGTATTTTTAATTATACTGCTGATACACAAAAACAATAAAATCACTATCACCACCACCACCACCGACCCCGTTTCCTCCTCATTTATCTCTGTGCTTCTCACAACCTTGCAAGGCACCGCTTGGACCCCCCCACCCCAAGTCCCCAGGCCGGCGAGGGTGCCCATCTCCCGGGCTCCTCCTCACTTCCCCTTTGTCCTTCCTCTTTCCCGTTGTATTTTTAGAAATTTTGAGCTTGCAGCCCTGCTTCCAGGACAGCTGGCCTCACTTCCCCTTTCCAGGCAGGAGGAGGGCACCGTCTCAGGGCCCTAAAGTCTCAGTGGGAGGGACCCTGGGGCAGAGGGGGTGTGGGCGGAGCTGTTCCCCGCCCCAGCCCACACGCCCTACAGGCTCTGCGGAGTGCGGCTTCCTGTCCCCCAGCCCAGCTGCCTGTTTTTAACCATGGCTGCCTGGCCTGTCTACTCTGCACCAGCGCGGTGCTCGTCTTTGCTGCCGGCCCTCTTGCCTTCCTGGCAGGCCCTGGGGGCGCCGGGGGCGGGGGGCGCCTTACCTGTTTCCGGACACAGGCCCACCGCAGGAGAGCGGGGGAGGCAGCCCTGGTGGGAAACTGAGGCCCCACAGGAAGAAGAGATTGGTCATGACCACAGGCAGGATGGCGCAGAGCTGGAACCCCAGCGAGATCCGGCTAACGCCCTATCCCCGCTTCCCCAGGCCAGGCCAGGATGAGGGGATCCACACTGAGATGACAAATAATCGGAACTCAGAGAGGGGAAGTCACCGGGCCATGGAGAAGCCTCAATTAAGACCCACTCTACGCAACAGGGAAATGACCTCTCCTCCCTCCCCCTGGCCTCCTCCTCCAGGAGGTCTTCCCAGATCTCCTCTGCCCCAGTGAGAAAAGTGCTTTCTCTTATCTCTAGGTCTGTGTCCATTTGCACAGCTGGGTCAGGGTCCTGCAGAATCTGTCTCCTGCCTCTCTACCCCACCCCCAACATTCAGACCCACACCTGTCCCCCAGGGTTAGGCCCATGGCTGGGTCACTGCTGTCCCCAGCACTGCATGGCACACGGGAACATCGGTTATAGAGTGAATGAACGAAAAGACCAACCACTCAGTGGAGAACCAGTGTTTGCTGTACTGACCCCATTTAATCCATTTCCTCCCTAGTACCAGCTGAAGCAAGCAGAGACTCCCCTTCTGGCCCCCGAGGCCCCTCCTCTGCCCTCTCCACAGCGCCGGCCAACCTGGGCTTTCTTCCTCAGGTTCTCATCCCTGCTCTGCCACGGACTGGCCGTGTGACATCAAGCAAGTCAGTCCTTGCCTCCAGTTCACCTCTGGGGCCTCAGTTTCTGTATCTGCACCATGGAGAGAGCCACCCCTGTAACCTCAGTATGTTAGGACCACAAAGGACAAAGCACCCTGCTGGACACACAGGCGGGGCTTGCATCTCAGTGGGTGCCCTCTCTGCCTCGTCCCACCCTCACATCTGCTGAGAGGCCTGAGCCAAGAGCCGCCCCTCTCGGGGTCTCCCTGTGCCTGCCAGGTACCCCACCAGCTATGCTCACTGAGTTGTGATTGTGGGAGCCCCCAAAGCCCACAGGAGAGGCAGGGGTCAGAGAGTGAGTCAGTGGCCAGGGTTCGGTCCCGCCCCTGCTTTAGAGAGGCTGTTTTCCTCCCTTGGTCTCTTTTCTCCCTTCTTCCACTGGGGTCTGTTGAAATGGATCAGAGGTTCCCTAACTGTGTTCCCTGCAGCCCGGCCCCGAGGCTTCCATCTGGGGGTGGAGTGGGGGGAAGCCCAGTGGGTGGGGCCAGGATGCTCCACGTTAGGGGTGCTCCTGGACAAGGCTGAAGTCACCTGGACCCGGGGAGCAGACAGCTCCCACCAGCCCTTATGTTCTGAAATTCCAGCAGCCGTGTTCAGTAGAACGGTTGCGGTTCTGGAGCACGCTGACATCCAGGGTGCAGAAACTTGGCCCCTCTTCTGCACCTTCCATTTGCCTCCCAAAGCACAACCCTGCCTGTTCTTTCCCTCACCAATGTTGCAGCCTCTTTTTCCCTCTTTTCTCCCCAGACACGCTGTCCTAGTAGCCAGGGAGGATTTCAGTCAGGCCCTCTGTTGCTCACTCCTGGCCCTCCCCTGGCTCTAGGCAGTGTCCTCAGCCTCCCCAGAGACCACCCCAAGCCCAGAGGGCCAAGAAGGGGCCTTGTATCACCCAGACAAACGTTGCCATCACCAACATCACATCATCATCTTAATCTCAGAGCACTTTTCCCAGTCCACCTCTGAGCCTTTGCACCAGCTATTCCTTCTGGCTGGAATGTTTGTTCCTTAGAAACCTCCTTAGCTGACACCTGCTTCATGATCTGGGACCCCTCATTAGATAGCATCCCCTCTTGGGGACCTGTTCCCCCACGCCCTCCCATCTTCCTTGTCCTGCTTTACAGTCCTTCATCCTACCTGCCATCAACGGACATGTGACATGACCTTAGAATCACTGCCTGTCCCCCGCTCTAGGGCACAAGCCCATGAGAGTGGGCACAGCGTGCCTTTACTCACTGCTGTGTGCCCAGCCTCTGGAACACAACTGGACACCTCGGCTGAGCCCGCAAATGTTTGTTTCTTGCAGCTGCATTTCTGCCTGTACTGTACTCCCTTATCTAGGACCCTGTGAGGCAGGGGCTGCTGCCCCCTTTCTAAAAGACAGGATGCTGAGGCCCAGAGAGATCGACCCCAGGTGCTTACCGTGGTGGCACAGGTCCATTCCGATGCCCCTGGGGGGAAAGATGACCTGTGCTCCTGTCGTTTGTGGACCCAGCTGCTGCTCGGGCTGGCCTGGCAAGGATGCGTCACCTTGACTGTCACAGGCCCCTTCCTGCTTGCCCCGCCCGGCTCTGTGTGGGGAGGAAGTCAGTCCTGGCCCACTGGGGTCTCGTGTGCAGGCTTCTGACACAGCAGCACTTCCTAAAAACTGGCAGAGTTTCGTACAGCAGGGACCTCTGCCAGGGAGGGACAGAGGTGGAAAAAACAAACAAACAAAACATGAAGTGAGGGGAGGGTCAGATAAAAAAGAGAAAGTGAGACAGAGAAAAACACAGACACATAGGCACACACACGTGCACAGGCACGCGCACATGCACACACGAACACACGTACACCCGCACATGCACGCACGTGCACACCCATATGCACAAATGCACACTCGAACACACACATGCACACACCCACACATGCACACACGCACACGCGAACATGCATGCACACACGTGCATACCCACACAGGCACAAACACATGCACACACACACGCACACACGCACAGACACGGCGGACAATGTTCACTGAGGGTGAACCCTTCTCCAGGGGACTGGGGCATTTACCTGGCAGCCTCCTCACATAGATCCCATAGGAACAAGCAACTTGGGCAGACCTAGCGGGACCAATAGGTTCCACCCCACAAGCTCTCTTCCAACTCCCACTTGAGAAAAGACAAATGAATCCAATGGTAGGAAGGGGCTTTGCTTCCCTTCAAAGAAATACCTGTTTTTTTCTTGTCTAGTGAGCAATCGGGTAATATGTTCTGTTTTCCTTCTCCCCAGGCTGCTGGGAAGCTCATCATCAAATCCAAAGCTCATCAACAGCCATTCTGTGATGTCGTATGAACTTTGGGGCCTGACTCAGCTGTCTGACTCTCAGCTCTGCCCCTCAGGATCGATGTGGACTTGGGCTAGTCAGCCTTGCTTTGCTTATCTATCTATTTATCTATCTATCTATCTATCTATTTATCAATCATCTATTTTTTGGGATGGAGTCTCACTCTGTTGCCGAAGCTGGAGTGCAGTGGTGTGATCTCGGCTCACTGCAACCTCCACCTTCCAGGTTCAAGTGATTCGTCTGCCTCAGCCTCCTGAGTAGCTGGGATTACACATACATGCCACCACACCGTGCTAATTTTTTATATTTTTAGTAGAGACAGGATTCCAACGTGTTAGCCAGGATGGTGTCGATTTCCTGACCTCATGATCCGCTCGCTGTGGCTCCCAAAATGCTAGGATTACAGGAGTGAGCCACTGCACCCGGCCTGCTTATCTATGAACGGGGAGTAACACTAACTCCGGGATTTAGTTTTTTTTTTTTTTTTTTTTGAGACAGAGTTTCACTCTTGTTACCCAGGCTGGAGTGCAATGGCGCGATCTCGGCTCACGGCAACCTCTGCCTCCTGGGTTCAGGCAATTCTCCTGCCTCAGCCTCCTGAGTAGCTGGGATTACAGGCTGCACCACCATGCCCAGCTAATTTTTGTCTGTTTTTTTAGTAGAGACGGGGTTTCACCATGTTGACCAGGATGGTCTCGATCTCCTGACCTCGTGATCCACCCGCCTCGGCCTAACTCTGGGATTTAGAAATGATGGAGTGAGAGGATGTGTCAGAGATGCTTGGGACATACGAGGTGCTCAGTAAGCACGTTCTCCTTTTACTTCCATTTTCTTCTTTGGTTAGAATTCATCATTTGTTGCTTGTGCCTTTTTGGGCAGGTTGGTTCAAATCCTTTCTAGGAAAAGCTGTGCTATAAACAAACAGCTATGAAATAAATGTGAACTCCCTATAACTTCATGGCACACGAAGGTTTGTTTATCTGTTTCGCCATGACTCTGCAGGCCACATGAGGGCAAGGTTACCTTTTGTGCTCTGGTATCTGGTACAATGCTGGTGACATAGAGGGTGTGCAAGTGTGAAATGAATGAACTAATGAATGAATGAATGAATGAAGGGAACATGGTGGAGATCATGTGGTGGATGTGAACTCTAGCTACAAGTTCATCTCCTTTCACTATGCCGCCTCTCCTGTGGTCAAGGGGCAAAGTCTATTTCCCAAGTCCTTCCTTGGAAGCTGAGCTGGCCTTGGGCATCCCTTTGACCAATAGCATGTGGCAGAAATGATGTTCCGTGATGTTCAAGGCTGAGCTTTTTTTTTTTTTTTTTTGAGATGGAATCTTGCTCTGTAGCCCAGGCTGGGGTGCAGCGGCGTGATCTCGGCTCACTGCAACCTCCGCCTCCTGGGTTCAAGCAATTCTCCTGCCTCAGCCTCCCGAGTAGCTGGAATTAAAAGTGCCCACCGCCACACCTGGCTAAGTTTTGTATTTTTAGTAGAGATGGGGTTTCACCATATGGGTCAGGCTGGTCTTGAACTCCTGACCTCATGATCTGCCTGCCTCAGCCTCCCAGAGTGATGAGATTACAGGCATGAGCCACTGTGCCTGGCCAAGGCTGAGCTTTAAAAGGCCTTGCAGCTCCTGCCCTTGCTGTTAGCTCCCTGTTTGGCTGCCATGAGAACAAGCCTGGGGTAGCCTGTTGGAAGAGGGAGGACCACAAGGAAATAGGCTGGGCTGTCCTGGCTGTGCCCTGGTTGCTGCCTTACCAGTGAGGCCACGGGACACCAGAAGAAGAACCATCAGCTGAGTCTCACCCAAACTGCTGACCCCATAGCCCTCTGGGAAATAATTTGTTTTTGTTGTTGAAGTCAATAACTTTTGGGATGCTTTGTTATGCAGCCAAAGCTTGCTGATACAGAAGAAATCCAATGCTGTCATTTCCTCGGAGGGAAAACCGAGGCTTATTTCCGGGAAACACTTGACCAAGTTGGAACTTGAGTGAGTGCCAATTCAGGCCCAGAAGCCAGGCCTATGAAGTCCCAGTCTAGCGTGCTCAGGACTTTTGAACCCACCCCACCACTGCTTCTCCCCAGCCCTTACCCCACCCTAATATAACTCATGGTTATTTTCTGGAAAACTTGTTACAATTATTTCCATGGTAAGCTAGATTTTTCTTTCTTTTTCTTTTTTTTTCTTTTTTTTTTTTTTTTGAGACAGAGTCTCGCTGTCACCTGGGCTGGAGTGCAGTGGCGTGATCCCGGCTCACTGCAACCTCTGCCTCCCAGGTTCAAGCCATTCTCCTGCCTCAGCCTCCCAAGTAGCAGGGATTACAGGTGCCCAACACCACACCCAGCTAATTTTTTGTATTTTTTTTTAGTAGAGATGGGGTTTCACTATGTTGGCCAGGCTGGTCTCAAACTCCTGACCTTGTGATCTGCCCACCTCAGCCTCCCAAAGTGCTGGGATTACAGGTGTGAGCCATCGTTCCAGGCTAACTAGATTTTTCTTAACTGCTTTGGGCCTGAGGCCCAATGAACAATGTCCTCCGTCATTTTAAAACTAGAAGTGTGGAGAAAGATGTAATTCCCTGCGCAGAGAAATTTCACACTGCAGGCCAGAGACTGCTGTCTGCAGAAAGCCCGGCTTGCAGGAAAGTGAGACCAGCCTGGCCCACATGGTAAAACCTCATCTCTACTGAAAATACAAAAATTACCCGGCCGTGGTGGCGGGCTCCTGTGATCCCAGCTACTTGGGAGGCTGGGGCAGGAGAATTGCCTGAACTTGGGAGGCAGAGGTTGCAGTGAGCCCAGATCATGCCACTGCACTCCAGCCTGGTAACAGAGTGAGATTCTGTCAAAAGAAAGAGAGAGAGAGAGAGAGAGAAAGGAAGGAAGGAAGAAGAAAGAAGGAAGGGAGAGAAAGAAAGAAAAGGAAGGAAGGAAGGAAGAAAAAGAAAGGAGGAGAAAGGAAGGAAGAAAGGAAGAGAAATAGAAAGAAAAAGAGGGCCGGGAGCGGTGGCTCACGCCTGTAATCCCAGCACTTTGGGAGGCCGAGGCGGGTGGATCACGAGGTCAAGAGATCGAGACCATCCTGGTCAACATGGTGACACCCCATCTCTACTAAAAATACAAAAAATTAGCTGGGCATGGTGGCGCTTGCCTGTAATCCCAGCTACTCAGGAGGCTGAGGCGGGAAAATTGCCTGAACCCAGGAGGCGGAGGTTGCAGTGAGCCGAGATCGTGCCATTGCACTCCAGCCTGGATAACAAGAGCGAAACTCCATCTCAAAAAAAAAGAAAGGAAGGAAGGAAGAGAAAGAAAGAAAGGAAGGAAGGGGCAAGTCTTGCTTGCAAAGTTGGCCCTTGGCTGGTATCTGGGAGCTTGGCTTTGGGGCGGCTCCACACCCTAACTCATGGGAGCGCCTCACTGGGCCTAACCTGTTTCTATAGCATCCCCAGTAGCATCCCATCTCACAGGTGCTTTCCTGACTTGTTGCTGGAGGAATTGAGCGTGTCCTGCGTGACTCCGCTGGGAGAGGACTCTTGGAAGTGGCACCTGGATTCCTCTGGATTTCACCCCAAGTCCCTTTGCTGATTTTGCTTTGAGTCCTTCCACTGCCATAGATCGTAGCCATAAGTATGGCCATGCGCTGCGTACTGTGAGTCCACCTAGTAAACCACCGAACCTGGGAGGCCTTGGGGAACGTGGACCCATCTTGCGGCTGACCCACTAAACCTGCCTTGCCCAGGGCCACGGTTTGGCATCTGGCACTTCCCTTTGGCCTGAGGGATGGTCGGGTGGTTCAGCTATTGTTCTGTCTCATTTTCTGAGACATACCTCAAATACCACCTCCTCTGTGAAGTCCGCTGTTACGACACCTCCCCTCCCTCTCTCCCACAACCCTGGTCATGTTTAACAGCTTATATGCAGAGAGCCTGGGAGGGAGGGACTCTCTCATTGTGAGCAGTGAAGAGTCTGGCAGAACTGACTTCATAATTTTCTCTGTCACTCCTTATCTAAGTTTCGCTGTAAGATTTGCTGGGAACCAATCTCACAGGCAATGGGAGAGAAGGAAGCTGGACTCGGGGGGTCCACTGCTGTTTATGGAGTACCTGCTATGGAGCGCCAGACACTGTGCTAAGTGCTTGTCATCTCATTTAACGCTTTCCACAATCCAACAAGTTATGTGATTACAATCCCTATTTATAGATGAGGAAACTGAGTTCAGAGAGGTTAAGTCACTGCCCAAGGTCACACAGCCAGGAGGACACAAAG